CATTTAGCCTGGCTACAGGCTGGGGTTTTCTAGCAAACTGCTGGGAGAGAAAGCCAGCTCTAGGAATAAGGGAGCCTCTTGAGTTTACATAACTTTCTGAGCCTTGGAACCAGAGTGAGAATGTGTTGACTCTGGCTGCTGATGGGCAGCCAGCTGGGGCAGGATGGTTAGCTGAAGCTTACAAACAGCAAGCTGTTCCTGCAGGGAAGAGTATGGCTGCCTTTGCTTTCTCTACTCCTCTTGTAGGCTCTTTTCTTGCTTTTCCCTTGTTAATGTCTTTACTCTTTAACTCCCGACTCCCCGCTCTCTCCCCCCCCCCCCCCCCAATTCTGATGAAGGCCCTTGAATCCAACTTAAGGGTCCTTGCGCCTCACTGTCCAAACCGGTTTGTCTTATTTCAGATCCAAAATCTTGAGCCAGTCGTCTCCTCTCATCCCTGCAGCTATTGTCCTAGTCAAGTGTACAGTTGCCATTTATACGACTACAACTGCCCCTTTACTGAACTCCTGCCTCTTGTCTGGTGCAGACCAATCCAGCTACACAGGATATTAGAGTTCCTTCACTTCAAACAACTCCCCACTCTTGCCCTTAGGTCCTGCTTCATACTCCAGCCACACCAATCACAGGAATCTACCAGTTATCAAAACAACTTTCAAATCTCCTGGGCTTGAGTATGCTGTCGCCTCTACCTGCAGTGAATTCCCCTTCCTTCTCTACCTCCACCTTGTGATGATGCTTCAAAACTCAACTCAAATGCTACCTCTTTTGTGAAACTTTCTCTGACCTATTTACAAAGGTTTGGTTGTCCCCTTGTCCTTTGTGCAATGTGGTCACTTTCTATAAGTCTCTCTAGATTGTGAGCCAATTTAAAGGGCCTCGTTATGTTTTGATATCTGTCTCCAAAATCCACTAGAAGCTTTACACAGAACAGGTTCTCAGGTTTACTTAGTCAGCAAACAAATGCTGGCCAACAACAGCAGGTTTGAGGGTAACACCAAGTCATGCCTTTGTCTGAGTCCTCTCAATTTTGAGACACCCCCCCCCCCCCCCCCCGCTATTAGATCTGCTTACCTTCTTTTTTAATTCAGATTCAAAAGAGGGAGAGAGGGAGCTGTTTTTCCACTTATATGCATTCAGTGGTTGATTTTTGTTATGTGCCCTGACTAGGGATCAACCCCGCAACCTTGGCATATTGGGACAATGCTGAACTATCCAGTCAGGGCCACATACCTTCTATTTTTCAGGAAGTTCTCCTTGGGCATTCGTCAGTTTGTGTGTGAAAGGATGGTCTTTGGTTCGACTCAAATATGCTCCTTCTGGCTCTTCAGCAGTCCTTCGCTTAGAAGGTCCAGGGGTTGTCAAGCCAGAGTGGGTCAGTTGGTTAAGTGTTGACTCCCAGTCAGAACACATATCTGGGTTGTGGGTTCCAATCCCATGTATGAAAGACAACCAAGTGATGTTTCTCTCTCTCCTCTCCCCCACTCTAAGCATGTGAAGATTAGTAAAAAATAATTTTTTAAAACCCAGAGTGTGTGTGGGGGGTCTCCTTTATTCCCTGAGTTCACAGGGCTAATCTGTAGGCTCAAGAATATTGTTATAGACAGTACATAATAAGTGCTCATTAAATATATGTTGTTTTGAATGTTTCCTTCTCTACTGGGGTGTAGTGAAATACTCTATAGACAAAGATGCTGCCACGTCCTAGCTGTGGCTGTGGGCAAGTCATTTCAGATCTCTGAGCCTCAATTTTCATGCCTTTAAATCAGAGATAATGCCCATATGTCATGAGGATACAACTTATAAAGGAGATGCCTAGCACAGTACCTAACATTGGATAAACATTTCATTCAATCTCAGTTTCCATCCATCAAATTTGAAGACGACTTATTTCCCTGGTCATCATCCTTTTTCTCTTAAGTCCAGTATCTGGACCAAAATGACCTCTGCCCAGTATCCCATGTATTGTCTAGGAGGCAGCATGAAGGGGAAACAACCTAGGTTTGAATTCTGGCACTGTCACTTCTAAGCTATATAAATTTGGACCTATCTACCTGTAAAAGGAACATCACCTACTTACCTCAAAGGGTTGCTGTGAGAATTAAATGAGATGTGTGTAAAGTAAATTAGATCACCAAAATTTGCTGACTAATTTGACTAGCCTGATGAACAAAAGTGGCTGTGTCTGCGAGAATCAAGCATGTGACCATGCTGCCCCCATGTGGGCAAAGGGCACAGGGTCCCACAAAGAGACCTCACCCACACCCACACCCACAAGGGATTGGAGGGAGAAAAGAGATCACACAAGCACTTTTTTCTCTGCTAGGGAGCTCATGCATTACCCTGAAATATTTAGGGGACATCTAACCCTGAACTTCTCAGAATTAATGTGCTTGTTAAAATAAAGATCAATTCTTAATAGGTGTAGGGTAGGGACAAAATCTTTAACAAGCTTCCACAAGATTCTGATACTACCCTGTCTCCCCAAAAATAAGACAGTGTCTTATATTAATTTTTGCTCCCAAAGATGCGCTGGGTCTTATTTTCAGGGGATGTCTTATTTTTCCATGAAGAAGAATATGGTACACATTTATTGTTAAATGAAAATAAAGGAAATTTATTACCTGTATACGGTATGGTAGTACGGTAGTTGTCAACACAAACCAGACAAACTGTGAATCCTACAATATCAAGAATTTACTCACTTATTCAATGACAATCATGTCATCATCTTCTGGAACATCATCATAACAATCCAATTCCTGAATTTCCTGGTGAATTTCTTGTGACTCCATTTCTTTCAGAATCAGTGGACCAAATCTCTCATGTTTAGCCTGGGGGGGGGGGGGGCTTATTTTCGGGGAATGCCTTATATTTCACTCAGAAGGAAACCTGTAAGTAGGTCTTATTTTCAGAGGATGTTTTATTTTCGGGGAAACACGGTACTAGCCCACAGAACACTTTGAGTAATAAAGGTTTTAAAGTGTAATCTGGAGTGACATGACAGGAACTATTTATTGAATGCCTCCCCTGTGCCAGCTAACCTATATTAGCTTATATGGTCCTACCCTACTACTGATCTCCACCTTTCAGTTGAGGTTCTATTTTAGGCAGCCTGGCCCCAAAGCTTTCTAGGACTCCAACAGTGTATAGAGGACGATCCAGGGAGGGGCTGTGGCAGGGAACCAGCAAAGGTGCTGAAGTGATCTGAGAGATGAGGCCTCAGCTAGGCAGGGGCCATGGGTCTAACAGGTTTGGAGGCAGACTGGATATGGTGTGAGAGCTATCTAGGGAGCTCGAGCTGGCTGGTTTGGACATTAGAGAGATGGTGGTACCTACTATTTATTGAGCTAGTAAACACAGGAGGAATAACAAGTTAATTTTAGGGGAAGGTAAATTCAGTTTCAGGAATGGTCAACATGAGTGGCCTTTGGTCCTTTGGGAGAGAAATGAGGAGGTAGATGGAGCCAAGTGTCTAGAGCTCAGGAGATGATCCGGATTGTGGACAAAGTCTGGATGTTGGCAGATATGAAGCCATAAGTGAACAGTGCAAACTGTCCTGTTCCAGAACAGCAAGTTAATACAGCACGTAATTTGAAGAGATGGGACTGGAATCCAGGTTTCCCTGGCTGCTGTGGAGGCTGGCCCTGTCCATTCCACTGGGCATCCTAGACCTGAGGAATAGGCAGAGCATATCATGCTGATGGGCTACAGGAAAGGGATTTCTGGAGCTCTATGGTAACTAAATACAACGAATTGTCCCCTCCCCGCGCCCCCTTCTCCCCTCCGCATATTAGCAGAAATAAGGACAACTTCATGGAGAGACTATATCAATAAAGGCTGGGAGATATTTATTTTAACAAGATCATAAATAATAAAGAAACAAAGTAGGTCCCAGACTCCAGACCGTGCAGCAGGATAAGGGATAGGAAGTTGTTGGGTGAAAAGGTGGAGGGGCTAGGCATCACCTTCGACAGTCACAGAAAAAATGGGCTGCAGGAGACTGCCCCTCCCTGCCCTGGAAAAGGTATGCTGGGGCAGCAGGGGGAGGCCGTAGTGCTGTGATGAGGCAACTGGAAGAGGCAAAGATTGAGGATGCTGGGCTAATTCTATGAAGAGTGACATGGGAACCACAAATGCTGAAGATAAGCTGTGTGGGTCTAGAAGAAGCAAGCGGGCGCTCTGCACACCTCCAGGAACCACTTATGAAAATGGTTAAATTTGACCCTTAAAAACAATTGCACAGGCTTTAGCTCTGTGGCTTTGTGCATGGGCTGTACTTAACCTGGGTTGCTCTGTGACAGGTGAGGACTCAAGAGGCCTTAGCCCAGGAGAGGTGTCCAGACGTGTGGGAGTGGGACAGTGGGCTCTCCCCAGGGAGGAGGCCATGTGCTTGGACTGACTGAACCTGATTTTCAGGATGGTTTCTTGTGATGCTATCCACTACACCTCCTTAAACCTAAGAATTGGATCCTGGACTCTATGAGTCTTCCAAGCCTGGAAGAGTAAGACTGGGATAAAAAGGTACCCAACTGGTGTTTTATTTGGAAGGAAAAAAATAAGGACCACTCTATGCATAGCCCAAACCCTGAAATAGGGCAGAACTATGCCAAGAACAATATCAAGGAATAGAGGTCTCTGAGCCTGGGGAGACATCTGAACCCAGGTGCATTGCCTAATGCCAGAAATAGGGCCCCAGCTGGCAGTTCTGATAAAGGCTTTACCGTAGGTAAGGCAGAGAGAACAGGCAAACCCTGAACAGGAAGGGGTATGATCTGGGAACCTTTGACTAGGGAGGCTCATGTTGGTCCAAGCCCTGAAAAACAATGCTTTTGACACAAATACACAAAAGGGTCTGTATATCTGGAGATGCCCATCTATAGGAAGCCGGTGTCACATGGTCGGGCAGGATGGTGAGGAGGAGACAGCGGCATCACAGTGGCCTCTGGTGCGATGCATTTACAACAGAGCTCAATGTTAAGGGAGGGACAGATAGCAGGTCACTAACAGCCAGGAAACACACTGTGAAGAGTAGAAAGAGAAGGGAAAACAAATGTCACCCTGCCTCCTCCAGGATGCCCTTCCTAATGACCAGCAAGGACCTTGCAGATCTGTCCCACCTCCCACAGCACCATTCGGGGCTGTACACAGGGTCTGCTGACTTGATCAAAGCTCCAAATGGTCCAGGGCCCCAAACATTGCTTAATTAAGAGAAATTCAGTCTTTACTTTTGATTCCTAGAGTTCATCAAGGGGCATAAGGGAGTCACTTATATGTGGCTCACTGTGCCAGGCTGCTGTCATCATTTCTAACACCTGCCCTGCATTTCTTCTTCAAACTTCCTGAGGGTGGGGAATGGGTTCCCCTGGCCCTTCATCAGGCTGTGGGCTCTGTGAGGTAACAGGACCTTCTGTAACACAGACTAGGAGCTCCTTGAGGTGTGGCCAAGACCGTGTGTTATGGGTCACCATGCTTTTCTTCCTCAACAAAGAGACCAACTGTGTCTCCCGAATCAGATGAAGAACATCCTAGGATAAGAGGCATCCTTTTCCCTCTAGACCAATTATTCTTACCTGGGAATGATTTTGCCTTCCTTGGGACAATTGGTAAAATCTAGAGATATTTTTGCTTGTCACAATTTTAAGTGTGTGGGGGTGCTACTGGCTTCTAGGGCATAGAGGCCAGGGATGTTGTTAAACATCCTTTAATCCCCCAACACAAAGGATTACCTGCCCCAAGTATCAATAGTGCTGAGGTTGAATATGGGTCTCTATTCAGCCTCCACGGCCTGCCCAGCCTTCCTCAGCAGATCTAGAGTCTGGAAAAGGACTGATGCCCATCCCAGGCTCCTTGGAGAAGGACCACCTCAATAACAAGTGCACATCGGGTGGGGTGTGGGGTGGTAAGGGACAATTTAATCTCAACTCAGCAACAACCCACAACCAGAGACAAACAAACAATAGCATTGTAGAAATACACGTTGGGCTTTGTGTTGAGGAAGGCATGCTGACTGAACCAGTGTTAAAGAAGAGATAGTTTCAACGTTGCCAGTATCTTTTTGTTGGAGTTGGCCAGCACGTTGGGCTCCTTAATCCTTTGTACACCATAAGCGTCTATAGACACAAGCAGCGGACCTTCCCCACATGCCACGCATGTCTATAGCAGAAACTTCGCCTATCAACTCTGGCCGCCCAATTTTAAAATCAGACTTGTTAGTGACATCTCTGGGTTGTAAAGAAAAGTATGGTAACTTAAATTAGTAAATATCCCAGCACATAAGGAAGAAATGGGGATGGTTTACTTTTCAGACGTGTGGCAGTTCACTGGTTAAACCTTTGTAATGCTTACCACTGGAATCCACCAATGGGCTCTGCAAACCTGTTCCGGATCAGGAAAGTGGCAACAGCTTCAGCTACCTACAATGAGAGATATTCCTAGCCATGTGAAGGTTAGCAATGGGCCTCAGCCTTAGAGTCCTGTGGGCTTCTGCTGGAAGGTCAGACCCAATAGTGAACTCATGGGTCCTATAGGTATTGGGAGCTTGAGGTCACAACTACCTGGGTACTGCTATGGCTAGGAGACTCATTCCTAACTATTAGTATAATTTAGGGAGCAGTTTCTACCCCAATTATCCCTTTTTCTACCTGGCTTTTGGAGGTAATAGAGAAATGGAGCTTAAGCTCTTCACTATAGGATCCCAGGATAAAATAGCAGCGTGCCCATAGCTTCTCAGCCCACACCCAGAAAGCCAAGACCATAGGCAGCTGCCAGGGAGAGGTTTGGGAGCTGGTGGAGTTGCATCACAGCAGCAGTTGCAGGAACACAGACTGATTTAAAGGTATATCCTCTCTTCTGTGAGACCCAAGGTTATTCTCACAGAGGTCCTCACAACTCTCAGTCATCAAGCTTTGGGCTCACCTTGTCTGGGGCATCCTCATGGACTGCGTGGCCACACTGAGGTAGGACCTGCATCTGGAATTTCCCTGGAGAGGAAAAAAATCCAGGCAACCTCAGAGACTAAAATGGCTCTCTCCTTACCACCTCTGCAGTCTCACAGGACATTTCAGAAGCCCAGGACCTCTCCCTCCCTCTCTCCCCAAAACTCAGTTACCAAGCCTTTGAGGAGGATGGTAATACTTATAATCCTGGACAAATCATTTTCCTTTCATTTTTTTCCTTCTGCAACTATTTAATGTACATATATCTGCTTCAGGCCAGACAATAATAAATCTCCTTTTTTCAGGAGATTTAGTATAGTCTGGTGGGGGAGCAAATCACAAGAACCAACATTTTAATGCAACAGGCAATTCCTATGATTAAACTGCACACATGGAACTGGAAGAATATAAGAAAGGAGGCTTTGTAATCAAATAGGGGTTCAGGGAGGCTTTCCATGCAGAAAAAGCCTACACAGAGGAAAGGAGGATGAAATAGTATTTATTCCTAAAAATAAAAAATTTGACATGGTGCTTCTGAAAGTTATAATGAAGGTAGAAAAGCAAGGAACTTAACATTATGGATTTTGCAAGCTATGCTAGGATTTTGAAATTTATTATGACAGTAAGTTACCATTTGAGTGCTTAACTATATGCCAAACACTGTACAAATAAGGACTTCCTCACACTGTTTTGTGGAACACTGTAAGCTCACAAATAATGTGATCGTTATTTAGAGTAAACAGAGATGACTGATAAAGCAAGATGCACACTGACCACCAGGGGGCAGACAACACAGGAGCTGCCCCTGATGATCAGTGTGCTTCCACAGTAGGAGCTTTGCTTAGCAGCTGTGAGTGCAGCGGCAGTGGCGGGAACCTCTCTTGCCTCTTCAGCAAGACTAAGGATGTCTGACTGACAGCGTAGGCCCGCTTCCAGGCTGCCAGAGGGATGTCCGGCTGCCATCTTAGGCCTAGCCCCCCTGGGAGTGGGCCTAAGCTGGCAGGTGGACATCCCCCGATTTGTCTCAAACTACAAGAGGGCACAAGCCAGGCTGAGGGAACCCCTGAGTGCATGAATTTTCATGCACCGGGCCTCTATTAGGTATATTAATATTGTAAAAGGAGATATTCTGAATAGTTATCAATATTTTTGTTATTGTTATAAGTTTTATAACTGAGCCAAACTGGTTTCAGGGGGGATATCATTTCTTGATGTCTTACCTTGCATTTGGCCAATAGTCAGATCTTTATCCAATCTATCAACACCTAGAATAAAATAAGAAAATCCATAAGTAGCTTACTAGAAAAGGCCATGTGAAGTTGGTTTTACTGTTCAAGTATGATGTAAACATTGTTACAAAGTTGTAAACATGAGGACATTCTCAATTCATGTTAATGACAATCCTAACTCCCTAAGGGTATATTCTCACCATACGAAGCTTCCCAGGTAATCAATTTGCTCATTTAAACTGGATTCTGAAAAGAGGGTTTTACTTTTTAAAAGTTCCATTATACTCAGAATATCCTTACACCACTCTAGGAGAAGGACTTGGGCTTGACCAGGTACAGAGGCCAGGCCAGAATCAGGCCATCCCCGGTGGATGCTTATGCTTCATTAGTTTAGGGATCTGGTGTGGGGAAGAAAAAGGGCACAAATGAGTGAGGATGGTATTTCACCTTAGAAGTCACTACCCATTTGGTGAGTATTTACATATAACAAGAACAGATGCTGATGACCATATATCTACACTGCTATGAATTGAATTGTGTCCCCCCAAAATCTATAAGTTGAAGTCCTAATCTGTAATGTGACTATATTTAGCAATATGGAAGTAATTATGATTAAATGAAGAAGTAAATGAGTTAAATGGGGTCATAAGGGTGGGGCCTCCATCATATGATAAGATTAGTGTCCTTATAAGAATAAATTGCTCTTGCTTTCTCTCCACCATGTAAAGAATCATTGAGAAGGTAGTTGTCTGAAAACCAGTAAGAAAGTTGTCACCAGAATTCAACCATGTTGGTATCCTGAGCTCAGACTTTCAGCCTCCATACTAAGAAAATAAACTTGTTGTTTAAGCCACCCAGTCTATGGTTATTTTGTGATGGCAGCCCAAACTGACTAATACATGCACATACACACTTACCAGCCAAGAGCAGCAATTTAGGAATAGGACAACTAAGAAAGAGATTGGATAAGCCTCGAAACCAGCCATCCCAGTATTTTTCAGTTTTTGCCAGCTCAATCCTCCAAGTGTATGGATGGTCTTTTTTGGTCTGGAGGAATAAGAGAAAGTTTTGAGTCTCTGAGGGCAATCCCTGGAGGAACAGGATAAAAACTAGGTCCCTGGAAAAATGAAAGGGAAGGAAACTAGCACTTATTAAGGACCTACTATGTCTCAGACATTTTAATAAACATTTAATTCTTGTAACAGCTTTGTGATATATTGTTATTTCCGTGTTTAGATAATTAGAAGTTTGCTTCTACTTCTATTGATTCTGTGAACTTGGGACATTTTCTTAAGAATATAAAGCTAGTAAATGGTAGATCCAAGACTGAGTTGCTCTATATTTGGCAATAAGAACACATCATCAAGGGGATAATTACAAAAACCATGTTGCAGTATGAAAAAAAAAATGCTTACAATATAATATTAAGTGAAAAAAGCAGAATACAGCATGCCATCTATACTAGGATTACCACTGGGAAAATGTGGTATACTTTGGGGAAAAACTGGAAAGGAAAACTGAAAATATGTTGATTTGTTAGTAGAGCATTTTTCTTACATTTTTATTTATGATAATGACATAATGTTTCTGTAATAGTAATTTAAAAAAATAAATCTGACACAAATATAACAAATGTCAATATCTGTTATATCTCAATATAAAGCAGATGGAAGGGCATGGAGTATGCACTCATCAAATGCAAATTGAGCAAATAATTCTTTATACTTTTCTGCATCATTAAAAATTTGAAATATTGTAACTGAAGTAAATAATTGGGATACTGCATCAACCACAAGATGAAAATCTAGAAGTGAACATGAGACAGCAATATATTAAAGGTCATTGGGTGGTTAATATGTCCATATTATCCACAGCAATCTGCAGATTCAATGCAATCCCTATCAAAATCCCAATGGAGTTTTTCCAAAAATAGATAATTTTACACTAAAATTAATAGGGAATTTCAAGGGATCCTGAACAGTCAAAACAATTTTTAAAAACATCAAAACAATTTTGAAAAAGAAAAAAATCAGACTCTCTGATTTTAAAACATTACAAAGCTATAGTAATCAAAATACTCTCTGAACCATTCCCTACACCATCCTTCCAAGAATGCAGGCTGTTACTCACCTCCATGTCATCTTCCTTCTTCCTCTTATTTACTGATTCACTTCCTTCTTCATCATCTTCATCTTCCTCTATGATTCCTTCCACTACAGATTTTGAGCCTTCTGGACTTGTAATTCCTTCACACCTAAGTTTGTTTGTTTTTTAAAAAAAGTTCTATTAGAAACCTCTCTTGTATACACAAATTATCTCAGAAATAGTGATACTGGCCGGACCGGTTTGGCTCAGTGGATAAAGTGTTGGCCTGCGGACTGAAGGGTCCCAGGTTCGATTCTGGTCAAGGGCATGTACCTTGGTTGCAGGCACATTCCCAGTGGGGGATGTGCAAAAGGCAGCTGGTCGATGTTTCTCTCTCATCGACGTTTCTAACTCTCTGTCCCTCTCAATTCCTCTTTGTGTAAAATCAATAAAAATATATTAAAAAAAAGAAAAAAAAAGAAAAAAGAAATAATGATACTGATGGTCTTTTATAATCAAACTAAAGGCCCAGTGCACAAAATTTGTGCATAGGTAGGGTCCCTAGGCCTGGCCAGCAATCAGGATCAATCCAGGCCTTTCTTCCCCCGACTGCTGCTCCACCCCCTGGTGGTCAGCACATGTCATAGCAACCATCCCCATTTGGTTGAACTCCAAAGGGGACAATTTGCATATTGACCTTTTATTATATAGAAGGATGATAAAACTTAACAATGTTTCTGGAAGGATGAGAAAAAATATTTAAAATGTACAAAAGTAGACTGTAACTGTGGAAGGTAATGACCAACATAAAACTATACTCTAAGAGATGGATTTCAGTTCTGGTGTCAAAATTGACCCACAGAAGGGAGTAATCACTTGGAGGTATGATAACGTGTTTTATTGGCATTATCTTATGTAAATCCACTTAACAATCTAAGAAATAGGTCTGAAGAGTTAAAAAATAGTCCAGGATCACCTAGCTTATGAGTAGATGAAGCTGGCAGGCAAATGCAGGCCCAATTAATTCTAAGGCATAATGCTTTTCTATTATATCCTGCTTCTAGAATGAGGCTCAACCAAATTGGTAAAAAGCTCCCACTTTTTAATCAGCTTATAGAAACTGGCAATTACAATAATCATGACAGCTGAACCTTGCAAATTAGAACATCTGGTCCAACCAATTATTATTGTTGTGTTTCCTCTAAAAACATTCTCTTTATTATGCAATTAGGTTAAAAATATTATTTTATGAACAGCTGGTACCATAGTTACTTTCAGCGATAAATTATTGGAAAAAAAATATTGACAAATGTTAGAGGTAAAAATCCAAAGGGTCTTGTCCAGCCAGCTTGACTCAGGAGTTAAATGTCGACTTATGAACCAGGAGGTCACGGATCAATTCCTGGTCAGGGCACATGCCCAGGTTATGGGCTTAATCCATGTAGGGCTTGCAGGGGGCAACTGATCAATGATTCTCTCTCATTATTGATGTTTCTATTTCTTTCCCTCTCCTTTCCTCTCTGAAATCAATAAAAAATATTTTTAAAATTTATTTTTTTTAAATCCCAAGGGTCTGGATAGCAGCTAGTGCCAAGGTCTGCTATGCATGGTACACAAGAATTTGTTTGAAAAAGAAAGAGAAGGGAGGAGAGAAAATAAGCAAAAAAAGAGTGGGATAAACTGAAGGTCAGTGAACTTTGGTGGTGGATTTTTAAGAATGGTAACTTGTCTTTCTCCTCTACCCAACCTTCAATGAAGGCTATGTTCACAAATGGTTTGTTAGGTGGGGGTTTCTATTGAACTTGAAGTATCAAGTTTCACATCTAGGTCAAAGGACCATAACAAAAAAACAAGTGCTTTGGATTTCCATAGCTATGAACTGGGAGATTCAAGAGAATTTCACCTAGGTGAAGAGAGCAGAAACGTTACAGCTAATATCTATGTGACAATTAAAACATATATACTCTTACACACCCAGATTTATAAATTAAGAGAAAACATTACTTAAGCTTACAAATAATAAAATTTAAAAATCATTTAATTACCAGCATACCAGCTATGTAACTTCCTTACAAAATGCTTTACCACTGCTAAGACAAGTCAGATTTCAAAATATTTAGGTACTGAAAAGTGGACAGTTTCACAGATTACTCAAAGCCTCTGCTATGTTTCTGCCAGATATTACTACTCAAATTATACTTTTAGTCATAAAATCCATAATATAGGCCTTAGAGTAAAATACAGAGTTTGAATCTGAGCTGTGATTCACTAGGTATGTGATCCTGGGAAAATCACTATACTTTTCTGGACTTCTATGTCCTCACCTATAAAACAATACTTATCTTAAAGAGGTGTTCTAAGAATTAAATAAGACAAAGCAAATGAATTAATGAATCCAGATAATGATAATCTATGGCTGCTAACATTCAAAACCCTTCCCGGGGATGTGCCCGCAACCAATGTACATGCCCTTGACCAGATCAAACCTGGGACCTTTTAGTCCGCAGACCAATGCTCCACTGAGCCAAACCGATTTTGGCAATATTAACTATTCTTAAAAACAAATAAGAAAACAATAACAAATCAAACTGAATTTGACCAAATCTTTGGATCTCAATAACAATTTAAAGACAATACAGGGAACAAAGGAACATGTTAAATTACACTTTGAGGAATCAACCAGCAAATCCAGATTGTGGGACATTCACAGAGCAAACAACCAGGTTTCCTCAACATATAAATTGCAAGGGAAAAAAAATGAGATAGAGGTGGAACCTATAGAAAGCATACTGAAATCATACAGAGAAAATTGTGTTTGTCTAGAATTTGTTTCACAATATTTTGTGCTTAGGGGAAATAAATAGGGGGCCAGATAAAACAAGACTGGCCATAAGTTAGTAACTTAAAAATGGGCAATGGGTACACTGTGTTTCAATGTATTATTCTACCTTTATATGTCTAAGAATTTTCAATATTACATGGTTTTAAAAAATGAGATAGTGTATATAAAATACCTTTTACAGTGCCTGGCAAATAGCACACATTCAATGCCATGATCATTATCATCAACTCTTATGTTCCCTGTCTGTTCATTGGGAAACATTTTCTCAATTCACCTGAAGTTTCTTTTGTGCCTACATGGCAATATCAAGGACTCATGTAATCCTATCCAGGAAAATCAATGGGGCTAAATAATCTTAGTTCACCATTAGAATCTGGCTTTCACTCAGGTTATGCTAAAGCTTTTATGCTACAATTTCCTCACAACCATTATGTGTTTAGAAGGAAACTGTTATCAGATAAAAACCATACTGCCTGTACTTAAGGGGACACATAATTTCTTATTTATTTTTTACCTGAGAGACAGAGTAACAGATTTGTGCCTTCACTTGCTGATTCTTATATATTCCCTGATTGGGGATCGAATTCCCAGACTTGGCATATTGGGATGATGCTCTAAACAACTGGCCACTTAATTTTCAATGTCCATTCTCTGGGATTCACCACCTTTAAATGCCTAGAGTTGTGCTAATCAGGTAACCCAATACTATACTGAAGACACTAATTGGTCTTGGGATTTCCAAAAAAAAAGAGAAAGAAAAAAGAAAAGAAAATCTATGCAATTGGCCCAACTGAGCTCACTTGTAAAAATTATCTAAAATAATGAAGGCAGCCGAAACCGGTTTGGCTCAGCGGTAGAGCGACGGTCTGCGGACTGAAAGGTCCCGGGTTCGATTCCAGTCAAGGGCATGTACGTTGGTTGCGGGCACATCCCCAGTAGGGGGTGTGCAGAAGACAGCTGGTCGATGTTTCTCTCTCATCTACGTTTCTGGCTCTCTATCTCTCTCCCTTCCTCTCTGTAAATAAATAAATAAATAAAAATAAAAAAATAAAATAATTAAGGCACTCACAAAGATGACAGGATAAGTGTATGAGAAAGAGAGCAAATTATAATTTTATCACCATCTTTCATCCTCTAACTAGCACAATAGGGAAAAATAGAACTTACTCTTTGACTTGGCCAACCATAGAGACACGGGCAGACTCCAGATTTCTAATCTGGCCACTCTTCACACTAGAAGAGAACAGTAAGGAGGGAGAGAGGTTATTAAGTATCTACTTTATGTCACTAGGGTCAAATGAATAATTCTACAGATTCTGTAGGACCTTCTAAAAAGTTATAGTTACCACTGTATGGAGGTTACCACTACTAACCCCTTAGTAATTATGTCTATAAACTGAGTAGTAAAAATTAAATAAAGACATTGAAGCCATTTCAGTTGTGCAAATATTTACCAAGAGGATACTTGTGGCAGACCCATACTTAAGAAGCATATAATTCATTGGGGAGGAAGAAAACACAAACTGATAATCTACACTAATAAAAGAATAAGATGCTAATTGACCATATCTTCATGACATCCACCAGCCAATCAGGAGTGAGTATGCAAAGTAACCCAACAAAGATGGTGGGCTAATTTGCATACACAGGTGCCGAGTGGCCGGGGACAGGACAGGACCCTTGTGTCATTGCCAGACAAAGTTGTTCTGCACCACCCAGCTGCACCAGTCCTCTGGACAGTGTGGGAAGATGGGATGGCAGAAAGGCAGCCCTGGCCAGAGCAAAGGTAGTGCCAGCAGGGTACAGAAGGCCCATTCTTGCACGAATCTTCATGCATCGGGCCTCTAGTTTTAATATAATAAGTTACAAAATTCAAAGGAGTCACTTTTATTTTCAATGAGGTTAGAGAAAGCTCCCCAAATGTCCTGCCCAAACTGAAGGTAAGTAAAAGATTAAAGAGGGTGGTCAGAGCATTATTGGCAGAGGGTACCCTGTATGAATTAAAGTATGTAAAAAAGTCAGTAGGATGATGACTTAGAGCAGCGGTTGCCAACCAGTGGTCCGCAGACCATGGTGGTCCATGAGGTCTGAAAGTTTGGCAACAACTGGTTTAAGAAAACCTTTGGAGCAGTGGTCACTAACCGATGGTCTGCAGACCACTTGTGGTCTGTGAGGTCTGAAATGCCGACCACTGCTTTAGAGCACTGTTTCCCAAAGTGTACGGGAAGAGTTAGGCACCATGCTTAGCTGTGCCTAATTCTACGTTCTCATGAGTACAAGGGGTACTCGGTGTTACGAAAATTATAGAAGGGGTACACATATGTCAAAAGTTTGGGAAACACTGCTTTAGAGGACAGAATACAAGGAAAAGCAGGGGCAAGCAAAAAGGGAGTGTGACAAGGCCTTGCATGTCATGATAAAGGACTTAGGAGCTTAGACTCTATCTTAATAGATTAGTTTTCCCAGAGTGGTTTAAGCATGGGTAAGGGCCAAGCAAAACACCACATGAACCAAACAGGCCAACAGAACACACTTGTTTAAATCTCATTTTTTAGCTTAAAAAAATCATGTAAAATTCTAAAGTGCACTCTACTCAATGACCTTATTTATTATTTTAGTAATAAACAGAAACAATTAAAACTACTACTCCATTTTTTATCACTAACTAAATCTACAGTAAAACAAACCCACCAGTATTCATGATCATATAGTTTGTTTTAATGACAGTTTACTATATGAAATATCTCTGCTCCTATTCAAGGCCAAACATGGGTACTGGTTCCCATGCCCTCTTGCTTAGGAGCTTGTTTCCTTTGTTACCCTCTCTCCTATGTCACCATTCTTTTCCTCTAGGTGGACATTATAAAACATCCTTTGAAAACATTTCAATCCTACATTTACTACTAGCCCATTTCTACCCCATTTCTCTGTTCTTCTAAACAACAAAACTTCTCAAAAAAGTTATCTCACTTGCTTTCTCTACTATATCACCTCCCATCCTTTCCTCAACTAATATCTCAAATTTGTGAGAGGTTTTATCTCCCCTTTATATTCTGAGATTTCCTGTGCAAGGTCACCTCCATCATGTCAATTTTAATGATCATTTCTTAGCCCTCATCTTGGGTGATCTCTCAGAATTATTTGACACAAATATTCTGTATACATAATTATTAATAATGAACTACAATATTTGCTAATGACAGATTACTATAATTGTGTTGCATTCATTTCCCTTACTTGCTTTACACATAGATGCACCATTTCTCTCCACTAATACTAGCAGCGAATATTTTAGCAGCTGATTGCCACATCATTAGTCTTATACTGACTTATTTGGTGTACACAACAGGAAATATTTTGCTTTTGGAGAACAAAAAAAAAAATAGGTTTCTTTGCATTACACTTATTAATTTGTGCAGTTATTCAGTGACTAATGTTGAAGAATAAAATTAATTTTTATTTAAATGTTCTATTATTTTATGTTAATGATTACTCATTTATTTTAGCCCTTTGTATTCAGCATGTCTCTCTCGAAATAAACCTATGTTTCTATGAAAATTGAAGTTTTTGGGTTTTTTTGCGGCCTATATAAACTTAAACCTAGTTTCACTGGCCCTTGTGAGCCTTTGAGTTTGACATGCTTGCTCTATCTCCTTTAAGGAAAGTATTGCCATGATTCCCAGGCTGAACTGGATACCTATCTTCTGTACCTCTGTGCTTCCTTCATTGTATTGTTTATGTATTTACTTATTGATGTTGGTATCCCCAACAAGTAAATATATAAGAACTAAGTTTAATTATCAGGCACTGACACATTTTAGGTACTTAAAAAACATTTATGAATAAATTTAAAGTTATTTGGAATAGTTTTCTCACTGGTTGTTACTGGGGAAGGAGGCAGAGTACTCAAGCTACATATTGAATTGGCAGCAGCTGCATTCTCAGTGCTGTGACTGCTCAAGATGGAGAGATCACTGATGCTTCTGAGAGAGCAGTAGCATAAACACAAAAGGTAGAAGTGCCTTCATTAAACACAAATATCATTCTGGCAAGCCATATTTGGCATGAGACCCTCTGTCCTAGGTAAACTCCCTTAAGATATATTTACCAGGTCCTTAATTTTCACTTGATATCTCTGATTCAATTAATAGGTATTTCTGTCTGTTAGAGGAGCCAGCGATATGCTATATGCTATCTGAAAGTACAAAAGAAATAGAGAATAGCTGCTGTTCTTAAGATGCAGGAAGGGCATTAAGGCAGAAATGACAATTAACAACATAAGCATGTCCCTGGAGGGAGGACTAGAAGGCATAAGAGGTAAACAGTACAAAATAATGCAGATTTAAAGGTGTCAAGCAATTTTACTGAGGCAGTGATCTATGTGGTTTGGAGGAGTCAGAGAAAGAGTTCAAAGAATATACCCGATATGAATTTTGAATAGGTAGGAAGATGGGATATTGAAGATGTTTGATCTGAAAACTAATCTCTTTTGGGAGGGCAGTTATTTACTTATCTCTGAATCCTCACCCTTTAGCACAAAGTGTTTAATAAATATTTAATCAAATAACTGATTGAACTAATAAATGATTGAACAGCCTTTACTTAAGTGAAAGCCATAGACAATTTCTGTCAATGATTTTTATGAAAACCATTACCAAAATTATTTTTATTTATCTAAAACCCAAAAAAAAACTGAGAAAGGAATCCACACCTATCTTTTGATTCTCCATCATTTTCTCTGGAACACAGAAAATGAATCTAGAACCTTGGAGCAATAGAAGTAGAAGAGCCGAAACCGGTTTGGCTCAGTGGTAGAGCGTCCATCTGCGGACTGAAAGGTCCCAGGTTCGATTCTGGTCAAGGGCATGTACATTGGTTGTGGGCACATCCCCGGTGGGGTGTGCAAGAGGCAGCTGGTCGATGTTTCTCTCTCATCGACGTTTCTAGCTCTCTATCTCTCTCCCTTCCTCTCTGTAAAAAATCAATAAAATATATATATATTTTTTAAAAAGAAGTAGAAGAGGTCTTACAGTCTCAATTAGTCTAAACTCTCACCTTAGAAATGGGAACAGCTAGTCACCAAGTGATATATAATTACTAAGATTGTAGGAGATACTACAGTATATTAGAAAAAGGATAGATTATATGCAACTGAGACAAGTCTAAAGCATTTAAAACTTTTTAAAAAAATTCTGCTCTTTATATAAATGTTTTTGTCCATGATATTACAATAGAGCTAAGGCTTCCTTTAAACGTTGGTACTTTAGTTGATGAAAAAGGAAACCCTAACATTTAAAATACACAAAATATGGACTTATAGATTACCTCCATTCAATGGCATTCTCCAGAGACTTGAAAGTTTTAGGACGACCACGTAAGAAATTCTGCATGCTATTAAGCGCATCCATGGCTGTACCTAGATGTTAAACAAAAATTTTTAACCATAGCACTTAACATTTTCCAAGTATTTACACTTACTGGGGAAATACATTCATCTGCTTTCAATGACAGCAAAATTCAGTGATGCTTAGGGGGAAAAAGATGCATTTTAAGAAAATTCAGAAGATTGATGGGATAGCCAGGTTCCAAGATGGCCCCCAGTGATTTCTGCTTCCTGGTATTCACGCCTTCCTGTAGTATCCAGACAATGAAAAGGGCTGGCTTGTATATGTAATAGTGTGACTTTCGAGGTTGGGTCATAGAAAACATGGCAGTTTCTTTTTAAACGTTAAATAAAATTATGATATATACATACAATTAAAATATTATGCAGCCATAAAAGATGTTTATGAAGTTTCTTATGCCATGGAGAATGATTAGGTAATGTGGGGTGTTGGTAGCATGAGTGTAGGTGTGGGGCACAGCTACAGTGTTTTGGACAGATTCAAGCCTTGGACTGATGAGAGGGCACAGTCCTCTCGTGGCCAAATGCAAGTCCTAACTTGGAGGGCAGAGCCCTCCCAGCACAATTATAGCCAATAGCTGTAGTTGTGAGCTTGAACCTATGGTCTGAACATGTGGCCCCATGTGCCTGCGTGATATAGGCTTGATAAGAGTTCAGGTGGATGTACTGAGTAGGATTGAAACTCATGAGAATGTTGTAAACATCTTGACCACACCCTTACTTTGCCTCCTGGCATCTGCTATAAAATAAAGACATGGCTTATAGTCCGTGGCGCTGTCTCTCCATGAGGGAGCAGCGTCCCGCCGAGACCCAGCTTTCATTTTCTTGCCTGTCTTTTCTAAGCCTTTCAGCTGCCCTCACTCAGGTTCACCCTTGGCCATGCCAGTGCCGCACATGTGGGTGTAAAAAAATACAAAGTTCCAGTCACAAAATAAATAAGCCCTGGGGATATAATGTATAGTCTGGTGCCTATATTTAATAATATTGTATTATATATTTGAAAGTTGCAAAGAGAATAAATCTTAAAGTTCTCATTACAAGAAAAAAAAATTTGTAACTGTGTGGTGATGAATATTAATTAGACATATTATGGTAATCATTGTGCAATATATACAGGGTGGGGCAAAAAAGTTTATGAAGGATGTGAAACACAGAGTTTATTCTTATAGTATTATTTATTATTATATAATTTTCCATATGAACTGTAAACCTACTTTTGCTCCACTCTATACACATACCAAGTCATTATATTGTACAATTGAAACTAATACAAAGTTATATGTCCATTATATTCCAATTTAAAAAACACTTTGAATGACTTTGCCACAAAATAACATAAAAGTAAGATATAAAAGACAAAGGGACATAATTCAAGATGAGTGAAATCAACAAATTAAAACATGATAATAATCTACCAAGATGGCTCTTATATTCAAACATTTTGAATGGGTTAGCACAAGAAAGCTTACCTTCCACAACATCAATCACGCACAGACCCAGGAGGCTTGGCACCAGGTTGGATGCTGCTGTGTGGACTGCAATAGCTCCACCCATGCTATGTCCAATCAGCATAATTGGAGGAGGGAGGTCCCCATACATGGCTTCAACTACATTGCCAATATCTCTGCAAAACAAGGAAAAAAAGCTGGAATGCTCTCTGACAACACTAAAACAGTTTTCTTTCTTAACTCCTTCCTTTGGTCTGTAACTAACAGGCCTAGGACTGTAAAGGTCTTTTGAATCATCTCACAAACGTAACTATGTAAAATTCCTAACATGTCCCCAGTATTTGTAGACATAGCCACATACCTAGCTCTTCTGATAAATGACAGTTTAAGGACTAAGAACCCAAATATTTTTTCTTTCCTTTATATAACACTTTTATTGTTCCACACATTTAGTACAATTACATAATCACATATCTTTCGTTTAAACCTAAGCTTGAAACTCTGGACAAATCATTTAACTGCTCTATGCTTCAGTTTCCCCATCTATAAAACAGAAAAACAACTTTATTAAGCATTACAATGTAGTCAAGTTTGGAGTCACAAGATGAATTACAGCCCAAGTCTATTTTTTACTATATGGACTTGAATTAGTTATTTAACCTTTCAGAATTTCTATAAATGAAGATAAGGATGGCATTTACTATTCTGAATTTTGGTGAGAATTAACTGAAAGTGAATATTAAAAATACTTTGAAAAAAGTGAAGTGCTATACAAATGTTAATTATTATTTGTCATATTAATATATAGTTGTTTGAAGTATGAACATAAATGTAAGTATAATGTACTGAGAAACTTGAAAGATGTTTAGAGCCTATTTTTATTGGCTTCTGTCCTAGCCTTTAATTATGAGTAGGTCTGTTTTACAAAGTCCAACCTTACAGCTTTGAAAATGAAAACTAAAGTAGGAATTTTGGCTTTTATTTGTGACAGGCTTTCTTTGCTATAGCAAAAGCAAGTATGATATGATTCTAGGAACCACTGGCTCTACTGTCTTCTTTTGGGAGTGGCTGAGTCAATCAAGTTCAAAAGACAGCTTTACCTTGTTTAGTCTCCACAGTATTCAGAATACCAAAGGTAAATGTCATTATTCCTAAAGAAATTAATCTTAAAAACCTCATACAAAAATACAAATGTCAATACGGTAGTTGCAGCATCTGCAGACAATCTGAATGGAGATAAGGAGGCCATCCAATTTTATAATTAAAAATAATGAAGTTAAATTTAAAGCTAAAATTTTTTGAGTTAGTAACAGATATAATTAATAAAATAAAAGGATGCTATAGAAGAGTATTTAAATTCAGGTCTCCTTAAAATACTAAGTTGGAGGGTTCTATGATAGCTGCTTCATACATGAAGGTGGATAGGGTCTGAAACAAACCAACTTAATATTGTATCTAAGCTTAGGAAAGGAATATTTCATACAGATAAAAGTTGGTTATGATCAATCCCTTGATCATCTATCACTAGAAAAAATGTATCCTCATTAAAGTTAGGCAAAGTATTCAGTCACCAAGATTAGAGCCTTGAGACATGTCCTGAAATTCCAGAGAAATCAAATAAAAATAAAGTAGAGATTAACTACAAATCTAGGCTATAATTGGATGTACCATAATTTTGGTAGTTGCTCTCTGAAGACATTCTATCATACTAATACTAGGTTCATTTTCTGAGAAGCAGTATAGCATATCACAGACATACAGAAAAGGAAGATCAGAGTGACCTGAGCTCAAATCTCGGCTCTTCTATTTATTTTCAGTGGAGTTGCACCTTATGTAGAGTAAGGGTTCTACATCATGCTGACAGTACTACTTGAAAACCCCACTAAATCACCCATTAAGTAGACCCATTTTGGGATTTTTGTTTCACAGAATTATTGAATTCAGAAATCATATAAATGTTTTATTGCTTAATCTATTTCAGCAAGAATCTAACTAACTGGCCATATCAGTTCTACATGATTTTAATCATTTATTTTCTCTAACTTTATTGTGCCAGTTATCAATTTTACTGTCTCTCAGCCCCAATTCACCTTTCATTGCATGTTCTGCACAATTGACTGAGGCCTTAAAATGTTTTTCCTTTGCCAGCTGACAAGATGTTAAGCTATGTCACTAGAGGACAAAGAAGAGACATTGCAAAAAAAAAAAAAAAAAAAAAAAAAAAAAGGGTTTTTTCTTTACAAACTCCTATAGCTTGCACTTCCCTAGCACCCAGGTCCTGCAGCATAAAAAACCCCACACCACAGTTTCTCCCAGGGCCCAGCTTCTCCAGTACCCAACCCCCATTTCCAATGTTTTTCTTTCTAAGCTTTATTGAGGTATAATTGGTATACAAAGAAGGGGTACATAATTAATATGTACAATTTGGTAAGATTACGTGTGTGTGTGTGTGTGTGTGTGTGTGTGTGTGTGTGTGTGTGTATACACACACACACACACACACACACACACACACACTCTAGAGGTCCAATGCATGAAGATTTGTGCAAGAAATGGGCCTTCCTTCCCGTGGCTGCTGGCAGGCACTGTTTTTGCTCCGGCAGGAGCCACCTTCCCACCTTCCCACGTTGCCCAGAGGCCCGAAGTGGACGGAGCGGTGTGGAAAGCCTACATCCCACCCTGCCCCTGGCCACTCAGCGCCTGTGTATACAAATTAACCCACTATCTTCACTGGGTTAATTTGTATACTAACTCTTGATTGGCTGGTAGGCATCATGAAGGTACAGTCAATTTGCATCTTTCTCTTTTATTAGTGTAGTTTTGTGTTAACATCATCTAAGGTTTACCTTGATCATATCCATCACCTCCAACAGTTTCCTTGCATCACTTTAAAAAAATATATTTAATAATTAAATTGACTGGGGTGACATTGGTCAACATGAACATATATATTACAAGATCTGTATATTGCAGTGTATGTCCACCACCCAGAGTCAAATCTTCTCCTGTCACCTTATATTAGGACCCTTCTTGCATCACTTTTGTGTATGTGTTAAGAACTCTTAACATAAGATCTACTCTCAAACTTTTTATAAAATATTTTTAATGATTTTAGAAAGAGAGAAAGGGAGAGGAAAAGAGAGAAACATTGGTGATAAACATTGATCAGCTGCCTTCTGCATGCCCTCTAGAGGGAACGAGTCCACAAACTGAGCCTGTGCCTGACCCGGAATAGAAACAGACACCTCTTGGAACATGGACTGAAGCTCAACCAACTGAGTCACACCAGCCAGAGTACCCTCTTAATCTTTTATCTTAATATCTTATAATATATTATAATATTTTATTGATAAACCCTCTCCCTCTCCATCTTTTTAAATATATTTTATTGATTTTTTACAGAGAGGAAGAGAGAGGGATAGAGAGTTAGAAACATCGAGAGAATCATCGATCAGCTGCTTCTTGAACATCCCCTACTGAGGATGTGCCCGCAACCAAGGTACATGCCCTTGACCGGAATACAATCTGTGACTCTTCAGTCCACAAGCCGACACTCTATCTACTAAGCCAAACTGGTTTTGGCCTCCCTCTCCATCTTAATATCTTATTGATAACCCCTCTCCCTCTCCATCTTCTCTCTCTATCTCTCTCTGCCAACACTAATTTGAATGATCACAATTGATCTATTAACTGTGTGACCTCATATAGTTAATTAAACCTATCTGAACTAGTTTCTTCACTGGTAAAAAAACAAAACAAAACGATTCATATCTACATTACAGAGTTAATAATGTAGACACATTTAAATAACTTAAGTAAATTGTTTATTTTTAATAAATGCTTATTTTATACTTAATGAAGCCTGGCAAATAGAAAAGGCACAAACAGCATATATCATCAACAACAAAATCATGGCCACATGAGTTTGGGTTCTAAAGGAAAAATAGTTTATTCTTGGATTAAAGTTGTTAAAGTAAGTTAGGGACAATATATTTTCAGCCAAAGTTGATTAACTACTTGAGAAGACATACTAAGTACATGACAGAGCATATATAAAAACAGGGTCATACGAATCCTGCTTACAATACAAGATAGTAACTCCAAAACACTAGTCCTATATCAGATTCCTCTAAAGAGCTCTATCAAAACACTAGAGGCTTGATGCACAAAATTCGTGCACGAGGGGGGAAGGATTCCTCAGTCTGGCCTGTGCCCTCTCGCTATCTGGGACCCCTGAGGGGCTATCCAACTGTCAGTTTAAAGGCCTAAACCAACAGTATGACATCCCTCTTGCAATCCGGGATGCTGCATAAACCAATGGTCATACTTTTCATACAGGTGAGAGGCATCTTGCTGTTATATGGGCAGTTACATTTTTTGCCCTGATATAAAAAGTAGTACATAACATGATCCTTCTGAGGCAGTAGTACCATTTCCCCCAGCTTATGGGTGGAATGACTGAATCAGAGAGAAGTTAAGTAATTGGCTTTGTCACACAGTTATAAGTGTCAGAATCAGGGCTGACCACAAAATGTGCAAGCCGAAGTCTATGAATGTCATCACTGCATCATCCTGTTTTCTCAGTTAAGAGTAGCCTTGCCAGGTTTTAATTTTTATATCTAAGAGACTGTTCCCCATATATAGGGTAGGGTCCCTAGGCCTGGCCAGAGATCAAGGCTGATCCATGGGGCAGGTGGCAGGGCAATCAAGGGGCCCCTGCTGGCACCCACCTTGGCTGGCGCCACCCACTGGCCAGCACCGGCCCTGCCCCACATGACAGGTGGTTCCTCCATTCAGTCGATTTGCACAGTAAGGTTTTATATAGATAGATAAATGCCCAGATTGCACTGGTAGAAGAACTAATTCAATAGGGTGAAGTAAGGCTAAATCATCTAAATTTCAATCACTCGTCAGGTGATTTTGAAAAGTGACCAGGTTTGAAAGCTACTATATATACTACATTTATTTTTTACTTTAAGGCCTAGGATATAACTATTTTTTCTTTAAGACTGTGTCTGTCTTGCTACAAAGTTGGGCAAAGAATGTGGGCAGGATATCTTAAGAACATTTCACAGGGCCTCTTACAGAAAACTACTTTCCAAGCTTGCGTCCCCAATTGGTGTCCAGATTCTATTCAACAATGTCAACAAAAGAAAACTTTTCAAAAGCCAATACAAACTAAACTGTGTCTTGAAGAATTTTCAAGTGCTTTATGTATGACCACCACATTGAATATACCAAGAAAGATGAATGTTTAAATTGATTAAAGATATAAGAAAAAAAGAATAGAGCATTTACTAATTGTCCAACAATCTCATCAGGAGAGTGATAAAGGTATGCTACTCTTTATGATAGTAATGAAAGCTAGGTGATGGATATACAATATTAGATTACTTACTTTGCCATTGTTTCTGCAGACAGATCTTCAGCATTCTTGACTTTTGTTTCACCTAAAAAAAAACACCTATATTTTAAAAATAAAACTCCTGATAGAAATTATAAATGCAAGAGTATTCTCTTTCAAAAATCTCACCTTTGGACAACGAAATGGAGACTTTATACTTATATAAGGTGGACTTAGCAAAATTTTGTGTTGCATGCACATCTTTATAGTTGGATACCTAAGGCAGTGGTCGGCAAACTGTGGCTCGCGAGCCACATGCGGCTCTTTGGCTCCTTGAGTGTGACTCTTTCACAAAATACAATGTGCGGGTGCGCACATACAGTGCGATTGAAACTTCATGGCCCATGTGCAGAAGTCAGTTTTCGACTCTCAAAAGAAATTTCAATTATTGTACTGTTGATATTTGGCTCTGTTGACTAATGAGTTTGCCGACCACTGCCCTAAGGATAATTACAGTAGTCTAAAAATGAGTTATTCACATTCCTTATATAAAAAGTAGTACATAACAGCATCCAAATCTGGTTATTCATTAAAGGACATTTTCTTCACTAAGCAACAACAAGCGTGTGTGTGTGTGTGTGTGTGTGTGTATGTGTGTGTGTGTGTGTACTTGTAAAATATTTATAAAAACTGCAAGCTAGAACTTCCCTCAAAATACCCAAATGGAAAGACCAGGTTATTTGATGGCCACACTGAAATTTGTAATATTATCACTATTCAAAGTGCTTGGCAAATATGCCATTCAGTCAAAACTAAGAATTTCACTCGCCCTGGCTGATGTTGCTCAGTGGTTGGAGCATCAGACCATGCACCAAAGGGTCACAGGTTCGATTCCTGGTCAAGGTTTCAGGTTTGATCCACACCACATTCAGGTTTCATGTGGGAGGCAAACAATTGATGTGTCTCTCTCACATCAGTATTTCTCTCTCTCTTTCTTTCCCCACCCCTTACTCCCTCCCTTTCAGTCTCTAAAAATCAATGGAAAAAAACACAAGTGTGGATTAACAAAAAATCTTTAAAAAGAAAAAAAACTTCACTCACCATGACCTCGCAGATCCAAAGCTACAATCCTACATTGAACCCTACTAATGATCGCTGCCTAGGAGGAAAAGGAAAAGTAGTAAGATACATCTGAGTTAGCAAATTTTTCCCATTACCAATAATTTTGTTGAATGACCTACCATCAGAATTCAAGGATCTCAGGACAACTGAAAGAAAACTTACCAATTTTAAGCAAAAAATTTAAATGACAATTTTCTGCTTTTTTGGTGCATATAATGGTTCCATCACAACTTCAAAATATAACTTTCTCTACTTGAATCCCTTCAGAAACCTTAACTCTTCCTAGCTTTTCATGAAACATAGAGTGAGCTTCTCTAAGCAATGATCCTCTGTATTCTATTAATTATGATTTTCATCCATATTCATTGGTTATTTTTTCCCTACTTTGAAAGAGCGATTCCCTAAATAAGGACCATCAGTCAATATCTTGGTTCAGGATATTACACAAAGTAATATTCAGATGATGAAATAATCATGAAATCTGCCAAAGACTCACTTTTGATGCAGGAGTATACACAAGCTTGTATTGCAGTTAAATAAAAATATACTTAAAAAGAACATATATGCAAAACCCATGGACATAAACAGTGCAGTGAAAGCCATAGGAGAGGGGACAGGGTCTGGGTGGAGGTGGGCAAGGAGGGGGAAATGGAGGACATCTGTAATGTATCAACAATAAAAAAATCTTAATTCCAATAATCCTGCCAGAAGCAAAATGATATATTCAAAAACCTCTTCAGCTCCAGACTCATCTGTCTTTGAGTAGCTAGTGCTGCATTCCCAATTGCTCCCATTTTCTGTCCCTCAGACTCACTAGTAGTAATAGAGGAAGTATGTATATCTGCTTGATATACATAAGATATGACAATTTCACTTTATAAGGAATATTGCCAGTAACTTCCTTAGCAGTATCTCTCTTTACACATGGACCACCCCACCCCAGAGTCAAGGATATTAGGAAGACCTACAAATAACAGCATTCACACAGACACATATCCTCTACTCTAGACCAGGTTATCATCAACCAAATATTGCTTACTTCCTAATAGCTCATAGGTACCATTAAGTGTAAAGCATTATTTGTAAAAAAAAAAAAAAAAAAAAGGATTACTTTCCAAATACTTATGGAACATCTCTATGTATAAATATAAAGTACAATAAGCTCTTTGAGGGAGATAAATAAAAGATAGACATTATTTCTATTTAAAGCACCTGAATAGAACATGTCTGCTTCTCCGTTACTTAGATCACTGAAATACAGATCCCCACTTTTGTCAAGGCACAAATTCCATTCCCTCATCCCAATGATATATATGTAAAACATTTTACAAAATGTTTGGATAAACCATGCACTGAAACTCACCCGTTAAGAACCTTTACCTTAAAGAACAAGTGATATTTGGTATAACATAATACATACAGAATCGACTCACATCCATAACCTTATAATCAAGCCAAAGAGTGAGCACAGAAGGAAGACTTAGGCTAGTCAAATTCATCCAGAAGTAAACAATGATTGCATTAATATCAACTTCTACTATCAACTACTTACCGTGAACACAGCCCAGGAAAGGGCAGAATGGCCTCCTCCATGCAAAAGGAGTAGGACTGGACCCTCTGAACCACTCTTATAAACTCGAAACGAGTATGAGTAGTTAAAGATAACATATCTAAACTTTGTTCATTGAAAATTTTTTTCTTTTCATTTTTTATTAAGGTATTATATGTGTACATATCTTACCATTACCCCCTCCACTCCCATATATTCCCTCACCCCCAAGAGTTTTGTGTCCATTGGTTATGCTTATATGCATGCACACAAGTCTTTCAGTTGATCTCTTATCTCCCCCTCCTCTCCCTAACCTTCCAGCTGTAATTTGACATTCTGTTTGGTACTTTACTATCTCTGTATCTATCATTTTGTTCAGCAGTTTACATTGAAATTTTTGATAAGTCATAATAATGCTGATTAGAAAACTAACTCATGCAGCATGAAGCTACATGCAAAGCTGCGACTTCTAAACTTGAGATACTTCAATATAAGTTTCTGTCTTTGAAGCATGAAACCAGTATGAGCATTTTATCAATGGGGGAAAACATGCTTTCTTTTGCGCTAATGAGGACATAATCCCTGGTTTCTAGATGCTAAAAACAAGTTCAACTCACTTCACTCATGAAACTTTACCCTGGACCCTTAGGAAATATATCAGTTTCAGATATTTAATTAGTAATCCCTTTCCCATGCATTAGACAATTATAGCCACAAAAAAATATTCGCATTGACTTAAGAGGTAATATTCCATGTCACACAAAATGAATAAAAATAAATAGTAATAAAATTTCAGAAACTGTTAAATAAATCTTCTACTTAACATTATAAGCATACTAAAGAACTAGAAGCTGGTGCATGAAATTCATGCTTGGGGTAGGGGGAGGGGTTGTCCCCCAGCCCAGCCTGCATGCTTTCCAATCTTAGGCCCCTTGAGGGATGTTGGACTGCCCATTTAGGCCCAATCCTGGTGGGATCAGGCCTAAACAGGCAGTTGGACATCCCTCTCACAATCCAGGATTGCTAGCTCCCAACTGCTAGCCTGCCTGTCTGCCTGATTGCCCCTAACTGCTTCTGCCTGCCAGCATGATCACCCCTAACCACCCGCCCCTGGCCAACCTGATCAATGCCTAACTGCTCCTCTGCCGGCCTGATTGTCCCTAACTGCCCTCCTCTGCAGACCTGGTCCCCCACAACTTGTCTCCTTTATAGGGTGTGTCACCCCCAACTGCCCTCCCCTACTGGCCTGGTCACCCCTAACTGCTCTCCCCTGCTGGCCTCATCACCCCCAATGTCCTTCCCTGCAGGCCTAGTTGCCCCCAACTGCCCTGACCTGCTGACCCAGTCAACCCTAACTGCCCTCCCCTGCAGGCCTGGTCTCCTTCAACTGCCCTCCCTTGCAGGCCTGCCCCCCCACCCCCAACTCCCAACCCTGCTGGCCATCTTGTGGTGGCCATCTTGTGGGTTGGAGTGATGGTCAACTTGCATATTACTTGTTTATTTTATAGGATAAGCCATTTTGCAAAGGATATATCCTTGCCCGTTTCATTCTCTATTTCTACGTCTTCCATGGACTCAAAGTACTGACTCCAAGAAACAGGTGAAAAATCCCGTTTTCTTCCAGGGCTATGGAAATAAAAAGAGAGAGAGAGATTTTAAATAAAAATAGTTATCCATTAAATGATTAAAATCCTGATCAAACAAATGCTAAATGTAAATCTGAAAAGAAAATAGCAAGGATATTTTTTTCTTAATGATATGAAGTAGCTTCATACACAAAGTATTACATTTAAAATTCAAATATATGTTTCTTAAAGTTCAAATATATTTTAAGAGTAAAAAATTTAGGATTTGAGGAAATTAATTAGTATATTTTAATCACAAATGTGTTTATGTATATACATACCACAAAACCCAGTAGTTCTTTCTCCTATTCTTGGCTATAGGCTAATTTTTATTCTCTTAACCTGCTACAATAATTGTTTTGGTCACTTATGCTTCTTCATACCTTCAATCCCTCACATAATTTCACCTTTATTATTTCCTAGCCAGTAAATATTCAGCCCTTCATAGAAGGCAAATTGGCAATATCAATCCCTTGAATTTTTAAAAAATATATATTTTATTGATTTTTTACAGAAAGGAAGGGAGAGAGATAGAGAGCTAGAAACGTCGATGAGAGAGAAACGTCGATCAGCTGCCTCTTGCACACCCCCTACCGGGAATGCCCCTGACCGGAATCGAACCTGGGACCTTTCAGTCCACAGACCAATGCTCTACCACTGAACCAAACTGGTATTGGCCAATATCTTGAATTTTGAGGAATTTATCCAAATACATGCTCACCAAGAAGTGAAATAACTTATCTACTCAAAGTAGCATCATTTGTAA